AGCTCGAACGGTTCGGATAAGACATTCTACTAAACAATCTATTAATACCCCAAATGATGAGCATATTTACTGATGAAATTACATAATATTTACAGATTACGTAGAATTTACCAATAGCATTTGTGTCTGTAATCTTCGCACTGTCTACAAGAATTGTGTGATTGCTGACATTTTTTTGCTAGATATGCCAATTTTTTTGAAATTTATCAAAAATTATGAGGTAACAAGTATCGAACGATATTTATTGGCTAATGTTATCGATATTCGTTATGTCATAATTTTTAATAATTAAAAAAGTACTGTAACAATACTTTTAATGTTCAAAATGAGTGATTAATTGACCAGTATTGAATTCATTTCTATTAGCTAGTATTAAATTAATTCCTATAAGAGAAATAAATATTATTTTTTCAGTCGTTGTTTCTATCAGTGTTCGTTTCAATGTTTGTAACAACAAAAAAATGTTCTAATAGGTCAGATAAAATTTTTTTAATCGGTCAGATAAGAGCAGTGATTTCGCACAAATAATGTTGCGATGTGTGCGATTAAATCACACTATTGTGCACGAATCGCACGAATTGTGCGATTCTAACTGTATATAATATATTAATTATTCCTAATAAAATCTTTTCTTCCATAAGTTTAGCTAAACTCGGCTCATTAACTTTTGATTTGTGAATTTTAACAAAAATTAATTTCTTCTAATGTTAACAAAATATAGTATAAATATTATGTTTGATAATTATCGATTAAATCAATCGAAATTATGTTTAGATGAAAAATATTTTACAATTCAACAAAAAAGACTCAATCATCTCATTTATCTCATCTGACGTCACTAGAGACCTTTCATGAAGGCTACGTTTCAATATTTACTGCCAGTACTGAAAATCTACAGCATGTATGTACGTAAGTGCATACTATAGATTTTCAACACTGACAGTGAATGAATACAAGTGAATATATGTATTATAGATAATATATGTATTATAGTACCCAAGCAGTAAAACAAGCCATGACGTTAAAATAAATCGTTGCTGATTGAAAAATGTCTTTTACAGCGTTTTCGATTGCAGCGGGTTTAAATAATCGATCCGAGATAATATAAATGACGTCACACGCATGCTCTACTTATTTAGTTTCTATTTAGATGAGGTCGTGGTACTTTCGGGTTAATCATTCTCAGGTCAATCTACATCGATTACAGTCGAAAAAGCTATTAGTAATCATTTTATTACTTCGACGTCGTTTTGACGTCACAGTCTGTTTTTTATAAGCTGCACTAGATAGATACACTAGAACTTTTTTCTCATTTTAGTAAAATATCAAATATATACTTGTTTCACTTTTAAGTTCCAAAAGAATGCATCTATGAAAAACAGATCTATAATAATCCGGATGAAAACAAAAATGAGCACATATAATGGAAGACAGAAGCATAAACGAAACTTTTAAAAGGCGAAAATTGGAACGATAAAATATAAAAGAAGCATTTATGTTTCTTTTACACTTTGTTTCAATTTTCGCCTCTTAGAAATTTATTGTATTCTACTTGAATACGATCCAAGCAGAACAAGAAAGTCGAAATAATGTCAATTCTACTAATGTCATATTAACTGATTATTGATCGAATTTATGTCAATTTTTTGTAGTAATTCGGTCAATTGATATTATTTTATATGACGTCAAATTGATATTATTTTGATTTTTTTCCTTTTAGATTATGCATTACAAGCCTACTCGAGGTTGTATATATTCATTGCATCTAGATATTAGTACATACATCATTATTGATTTAAAAAATTCAAAATCGTTTTCAATAATTAATTCAATATTGTTCAACCGGGAGCAAATATGCTACTTTGTTTTGTAATGAAATTAAAGATATTTCGAACTTCTTTTCTTTTGGCGGTCAATCAATCAGCCAATCAGAGAAGAAAACAGTGAGAGGGCAAAGATTCTTACTTGAGTGTAGTTCTGCTCAAGTAATCACTGCGTCTAATTAAATCGAAAAACATTAATTATTATCGTTATTATATAGACTTCTTCTTTTTAGCAATTTTAGCTGAACTTCTTGCACAATTTATCTTTTCTCTTTTTTTTCCTTCACCGTCGAGAAAAGTTAAAAAAAGACTATTTTCGGCTTTCAACTGCTGTTCATTTTCTAACCTAACGTTCAATTCTCCGCACGTGTCGAAGGCGCCGGACTATCAGCTGTGATCAGCTGTTCGCGACGCACAAATCCCGATTCTCTACTCCTGAATTAGACGCGCACGCACGTGTCCTCATTGTGTCCTGATCGTCAACATAAACAATTTTACACGTGGAATATTTATTACATCGAATTTACAAAAATTTCAAATCTTTCATCTTTGAAATTGATATCTTCTCTCTTTTTTCTTCAATATCAAATCATACACTTATTTCATTTTAAGCGCATTCAAGGTATATCACGGTGCAGCTACAGGGAACAATTCTATATGGCTGCCGGCCGTACAATCGAGAGACAGACGTCATCGGATAAGGATCTTTATCGATCTTGTTATACAACGATAAAAATGGAAGAAAAATGAAGTAAATCATCGACATATAAAATTCATATGGTGAAATAAAATACTGTTCATTCGCTACGTATCGGCACTTGTAGCTTAATCGGTTTATCTCAATTCGTTTCAAATAACATTTGATTATCGCGATCCATTTGTCTTATCTAGAAGTTGAGAGAAGCTCGCGTCAAAAGTACTCTACATATTCGTTCAAGCGTTCGTTCATCTCGATATGCATCGATCCCGTTTGAGCGATCTCCTAGGAAAATTATGCAGGAGATCCAACGTGCCGCCGATCCATCGGAGATCGATCGCCGATCGGAATTCGCTCGTCTATGGACCGAATGTCGCGGCGGCTCGAAAATACGGTTTACCTATCGTGGCATTAGAATCGACGATCATCACACACGGCATGCCGTATCCAAATAACTTGGATACCGCGCTAAAAGTCGAAGACGCAATCAGAAAGCAAGTTTGTATGACATCCAATGACGTTTTTTTTTCCGGGTGAACAGATAGACGCAGATAACATAGTGTAATACAATGATTCATTATTACTTCTCAATGTTTAACAAAGATGAATTGACTATATGAATTCACTATATGTTTCTTGCTGGAAAGCATCCAGTAATATAAAGTAATTGAAATTTAGGAGTTTCCCCATAATCGAAAGGTCTTTTTGATTATCAATAAAACAAGAATTGTTTGAATATTTTGTTTGAATATTTTCAAAAATAAAAAAATTTTCTAAGTTAACATTAGATATATTGTGAGTTGTGAATGTAGCTTTGAAAGTTATCTATCACAATTGAACAATAATGTTGTGAACAAAATAGTAGATATACTTTTTGCTTATTTCAGGGTGTCGTACCTGCAACGATAGGAATCATAAATGGCAAGATACATGTAGGCTTAAACAATGAACAACTGGAGACCTTGTCTAAAGCTGACTCTACAAAGACCATAAAGTGTTCACGAAGAGACATTTCTTTCATTCTATCGCAAGGATTGAATGGTGGTACAACAGTCAGTGGCACAATGTTAATTGCACATGCAGCTGGTATTCCAATAATGGCAACAGGTGGTATCGGCGGTGTTCATAGAGGAGCTGAGCTAACTCTTGACATCAGTGCCGATCTAATTGAACTTGGACGCACGCCGGTGGCAGTTGTCTGCTCTGGTGTCAAATCTATCCTGGACATTGGCAAGACCTTGGAGTATTTGGTAGATATACTTGAAGATTTGATAGATATGAATATGTAATCATTTCTATGTTTCATACAATTTATTAATGTCCCTTTTGTTTCTAGAAATTGACATAAAAATACGGATTTTATGCTCGTAGGAAACTCAGGGAGTACCGGTCATAAAAATAGGCGAAACGCCAGAATTTCCAGCTTTTCACTGTTCTGAAACTTCAGACCAGATAAAAGCACCGTGCAGAATCTCCAATGCCAAGGAAGCAGCCGGTATTGTGGAGACACAGAGAGTACTGGGTATTAACACAGGAATATTATTTGCAGTTCCTATTCCTGAAAAATATGCATTACAGCCTAATGTCATGGATGCTGCTATATCTCAGGCTTTAAAGAAAGTTAATGCTATGCGCATAACGGGCAAGAAAGTCACGCCATTCCTTTTAAGTGAACTCAACGAGATCACGCGTGGTCAGTCACTTGAAGCGAGTGAGTGAATAGAAATTAATTGCGATATAAAATGCGGCAATTATTATGTGTTTAAAACATTTGGCTTATGACAATTTTACAGATATAGCTCTCATAGAAAACAATGCCAAAGTCGCAGCTGAAATCGCCTTGAATCTCTGTGAAAAATCTCAGACAGCCTATATAAGCTCTACTTCTGTATCATCAATAATATCAAGACAAAAACCGGTAAGTCCGAAAAGAACGTAAAATTATTCTTGAAAACAGAAACTTAAAATATATTAAGAAGCGTGACGTGAGAAGTTATCTTAATATGCTTTATCATAACATTTAACTCACACATTGTTAAATAAGTCATTCCACTTGATCTCTACTTGAAGTATATTTAAACTAATGTCTTATTCAGGTGGTTATTGGCGCGTCAGTAGTGGATACTGTCCTGCAAGTGAAGGATCCTCAAATAAAAGTAAGTCAAAAATCTCACAATCAAAGTTATACTAAATAACCAATTTTTTTTCTTATATATTCATATTACATAATATAGTTTGTAGAACAGTAACAGTATTTATATACAATTACCACTTTTTTTAAATCTTTTTATGTACACTTAATAATATCAAATAATGGGAAATCTCGCGTAGAACAGGGGAAGATTATGGTGTATGTTAACAAACGCTTTATAGAATAGCAAACCTATGAAATACGGCCGTATTGAAATCGGCGGCGTATCCCCATAATGTAAATTAAATACAGATGCAAGCGTGTCGATACGATATTATGGGAGGTTCATTAACATAAACGCGCTATTGAGCTCGATTGTAGCTTGTAACTACGTTAATTATTTCGTGTTCGCTCTTCTTCACTAACAGTCTTGGATACACTCTTTTTTTTTCTTCATCGCGTGTGTGTCGTCTTTATACAATATTAAGGTAGTCAAAGCTTTTAAGTGTGTGCATACTTTTCTTTCGATATCGCGCTACGATCACTCTATGAAATATCTCATTTGCGACATCGCACATCTGGCAGAAACGGATCGATTGATCAAGAAGCCGTGCGATTTAATAGGAAATCGGTCTTTATATTATTTGTGCGAACATATCTTGATTATCGTTAGATTTTCAGTAACATTCAATGAAATAGAATATTCATTTAGGTAAATCTGTACAGCGACATTGTTTAATATTAGAAAAGATGCAGGCTATATAAATTCTTATCTACTTCTTTTTTATCTTAATAAAAAATGGATCGCATTTTTGTAGACTGTTTCCTGTTGATCAATCTGTCGAATTCAGATCCAACGTGCAATGTCGCAAACGACTAATTGTTCAACCATACCTAATTGTTTGAGATATATAATAAATCGGATTTTAAGCAGGCACTATTCAAAGCTCCCCGCACGTCTTCCACTTCAATTTGTATATATTACATTTAAATACCAATCTCCATTATAAATCGCTATGCTCGTTTGAACTTTGAAATTTTTCTTGCAGTGTGGTTGTACGTTATAACATTAGGAAATATCGACCGAATAAAATATAAATGCCTAAAATCTTTCGCTCTGTTTTTTTCTAATAGATGGTACATTGATACAACAACCGAAGTGAATTCAAGTATCTCGTTTCTCCGAAGTTGATATATAAGTTTCGTATTGGTTTTTTTTTCTTTCTTTCCGAATGTATTTTCTTTCGCCTAATTAATTAAAAAACGATTAATATCTCTCTATCTTCTGTATATAACATCTTTATATACATTTAGTGGCAGAGGCTGTGTGTCTGCGAGGTGTAAGCTTTCACATTATTATTACATTCAACAATAATTCGATGGTCTGATTAAGAAAGAATGATTGAACTTGCACGTGATCGGCAAAAAAATCTCTTCTTACCTGGAGAAAATGAAAGGAGTCAATTATCTTACTTGGCGACACGCACAAATGTTCTACTTCGCTAATAGTGGCCCAAAGATGATCAGGCAACCGTTTGAGATTAATAATTACCCTGTTTTCCAGACTAGCGTAATTATACTTGGACATGTAAAACGCCAGATTTCGAAACACGTAAATTCAACTGCGACAGATAGGATTAACGTAAAGCGTCCCATTTTATGACATCGGCGGAGACGTGCGTTCGAACAATTAACAGATAATATTTCGGTTTCTCCTTAAGCAGACGATCGACACTTATTATCTATGCCGGTATATACAGCCTACTATAGTATTTGTATCCGTTATCATTGCATCCTCATTAAATGTATAACCCTAAGATTCCTTTAATCCTAGCTAGGAAGCCAATTATTTCGAGTGTTACGCTACGTCTTTGTCGCTTATAAGACGGATCTCAATTATTGGGACATCGGAGAGGCATATGAGGCGTGCGAAAAGAAAAAGAGAAAATAGTTTGAAACATTGAATGAAATCTCTCCGGTCCATACTTATCTTCAATAATGATGGTGTAATTACAACGTATCGATACAAGCTACTTGCGTGACGCGTATCTTTTAGATGTTTATGTAACAGTGACTACAAATTATTTAATCACCGCCTATATCGGAAATCTCTCTGTCCCTCTCATTTCCTCGTTCTTTCGTTGTTATATTATTAAGGAGGAAACTAAGCAATTTCTTGTCGCTCAAGAATAGTTTGTCTAAACGTACATTCATCTTGTCAGAGAAGAGTAGGAGAATCATCAATTTGGCAGTAGTATCTCACAATATTCTCCCGTAACTATCGTAATTATCTCTTAAGAATCATTACAGAACTTAATGAATGTAGTCGCGAGATACAATAGCTGATTAGACAGCACTGTGAAGCATAGTTCACTGGTCTGAACAAATACAAGTTTGCATTATTAAGAGAGTCAAACGTGAAGTCGCAAAGATATAATTTCCTCAAGTCGAACAAAAGTCGTAGAAGTTGTTAACAAGTTTTGAATCATAACTTCTATTCTTCAAATAGTTGTGATAGAAAAGATCAATTAACTGAACTTGGTCGGTCAACTAAATTTGCTGCTTCTTGTTGTTTTAATACTGATATAATAATATCCATGATGTGGATTCAAAAGATAAAATGAATATTTACGGGATTTTTGAAATATCTTTGCGACATATAACATAGAAAGGAGATACACCGTCAAGATAATGTTTTGCCAGACAGAAACACGATCCACGAAGTATATCTGATTACTAACTCAAGAGTCTTTAATTAACTCAACAGAATTGTCGGTCCAGAAACAATTCTACGCGGAGATTTAACGGGAACAAGAGCTTCGTGTGTCATTTATAGGCGACGATAGTTACATTCGACTGTGACATACTACCGGCGTGGAGTTTATCTTCGAATGAGAAACAGCACGGTGTACGATATCCCGGGTACACTGATGACACGATCGATGACGGCTTTATTCGGATATGGGTAACGTAAGAAAGTTTCACGACTAAAAATAAAATCTGCAAAAGTAGTTATGCATACCGATTATGCGAGGACAGTAAGGCATGTAAGGTATATGCAAGGTGTATACTTGCGAGGAGAGCCCGGGGAAGTTAATGAATAACCCGACGATGTAGCCACCGCGGCTAGGGACGCACGCGCACAAATACAGCGAAAGCTCGCGTGGAAAAGCGGCAGATTTATTCCGTAAAAGTCAGGAGACTAAAGAAAGTTGTTTCTAACGGCCATTTAAAATTAGCGTGCACCTACCCTCTATAGTTCGACGTCGACGATGACGAAATTAGCATACGACTACGAGAGTACGGGCCGTAAATAGAATGGTTTCTTCGAACTGTCTTTCACGCGGGGTGAGTTGCTTGTCGCTCGTTTAAGGAATCATAGGGCAACGACGTTCCAGCCTCGGATTGCGCTCTCCTTTTTTTTCACCCCCAGATCGCGCAAGATGATCCAGGGAGTTTCACTCTTGCGTCGTGATCTTGGCGAATTTAAATGCTCCTTTGTGAATTTTGCCTTACAAAAATGGAGATAGCTCTTTCTCTCTCTCTTTCTATCTCTATCTCTCTCGCACTATTATATATGTTTTGATTTGGTTCTTTCATTAATAATTGTAAAGTCCCACCGTGATATCGATTCATGAATGCTTGGTCTCTCATGTGCCGTCAACGTCATCCGTCGCCGCAGTCTTCCCTCGGTGTTACGTTTGTGCGCATTATCGGCAATAAGACCTCGAATGTGAGAAGTAGGGATGACTATAGAAGACGAGCTACGCAGCAATTGTCAACCTTCTTCACTTTCACCGATTTCGTCGATACGACGACATCGATGGTGACGGCGGCGGCGGCGACGTTTCCTTAGGTATATCACACCGTCCGTTGGACTCGCGCCAGCCAGTAGCTCGCTAGATGTATGTGTTATTTTCTTAAAAAAGAAATTGAAACGTATGACAAAGAGTTTGTCGTACTTTTACTTATATAGCGGTATATCGGCGCGCCGCCGATTGCTCCTGTACAGGAAACGATTCTGGGTGTTTCGCCACCATCTCCATAGTCAGGTGCGCCTACTCTGACCGCTCGTTACGGTCACGCCTGTGCCCGGACTGGTACCGTTCGACAGCAACAGCCTGCGATTAAACTCACGCATCTCGTAGTTGTTGTTACCGTTGCTTTTCTCACGACCGCCGCCGGCCGCGCAATTGTGGTTGTTCGTCGAGGTAGGTGTCGTCTCCTCGAGTATTAACGCGCAGTGACTATTTGTATCGCTGTCAGCACCACCGTCCTGCAGATTGTTCGCCAACAGAGGATGACGGCCGGTGTTGCATTCGTCCGACTGTAGCAACATCGACGCGTTGCCTGAAAACGAATCAAAAGATGGTAGTTCTTTTCTTCCTTAAAAAATCAAATCCTTCAGGAAAAGAACGATTTTGCTGAAGTATCTAAAAATTTATCTATATATCTGAATATAATTTTGTTGGACCATCAAAATAATTATGTAGGACGCTTAAATTAGTTACTATAGAATGCTAAAACTTACTTTTTATAGCATTTCTCATCATGCTTGAAATTATTTTGATCCAATAAATTTATTTTCAGATCTGTATCTGATTTATAGATACTTAAATTATACTAAATTTATAGATACTTAAACGAAACCGTCCTTTCTTATTAAATTATTAAGATTGAGATGGTTATTAAGCTTCTACCTCTATTCTATAATAGATACTACAGTCGATATTTGAACATTGGTAAAAAGTGTCGATTAATACATACATATGTCATATTCAAATAGTTGTTCATTATTCAAATGTGATATATATAAAGACTCCGTTCTAACAATACTAATGATCAGGAGCCAAAATCTGGGTAATATATCATCAAGTTTCGGCGTTAATTGATTCAGATTATCGACATCGTTTTTACAAAGTGGAATTACTTTAAACTGAAACATACCGGAAGGCATAACAGTGTTAGGTAACGTTGTGCGTCTCACTATGCTGCCGTTATTGGCTGTTTCCGGCAGCACTTGGGAAAAGGGCGGTTGCGCAAACGGCGTGGCCGGCGGCGGCGGTTCCCTCAGCATTCGTATCTTCTGTATCATTTCCCGTATCTCGTAGCGTAGGATGCCGAGGAAGCAGAGCTTGGCGAAGGCGATGACGCAGAAGCCCAGGACAAACAGTAGATCCGCCGTCTTCCTGAGCCAACGTACAAGCGTCTCCTCGCAGCCGCGCATGTGCGGGTTCTGACAGGGTTCGCTGATGTTAACACTGGGCTCGCAGCAGGTCATTGGCAAGTTGTCACGGTGATTGAAATCCTTGGGTCCGGTCACCCCGCAGCACGTGAACTCCCGCTGAAGTCGGTCCCACTGTTCGCTGAATCGCATCTCCTTATCATAGTCCACCTGCGGGCAAGAAATCGTCACCTCGAGATGTATAATAGTACGATTTACGTTGACACTAGAACAGCAGCTGTACCATTTGACCAATCTGATAGTTTCTTTCTTTTCCAGGTAATTTAGATTTGCACGTGAAGATTTTTTTCTTTTTAGATTTTTCATAAATAATCATAATTAATTGCAAGTAGTTTTACTTTTATGGTGACAACTCTGCCTTGTAAAAATTCAGATTTATCTTGAACCGCGATTGGATTAATTTAAACCCGCAGTTCTAGTGTTAATCTAATCGGAAACGGGAATCCGAGGCTTCAACATTGGGATCCTGTAACTTTTAGTATATTGCATTATCGTAGTGCAGATATATATGATAAAAAATATTTGCGCAACGATAATATAATGATACCGACACTGTCGTTAAGAGTTATAGAATCCCAGAGTTGATCTTGGTCAAAGAAGCGAAAAGTATGAATTCTTTTTCACGCTGTATATCGGTATAAATTGATTTCTACGTCATCACTAAGGTAAAAACCTCCTACTTGTAGTAAATGACAATAGAAGTTTATAGATAGCTATTCCCTAGTCGACGAGTTTTTTACATCTCATAGATCTATGGAATATGAGCGTTAACGTGCAAGAAATTAATCTATTTCGATGCACAGTACGAGAGAAAAAGCTTATGTTTTTCCGCTTCTGACGTAATGGCCAGCAAACGGACTTGTACCCCGATTATACTCTTAATGACAGTATCGTTATATTGTCATATCGCGCAGATATACACGGCAAAAAAGCCGTGGCTGCACCAATACCGCCAACAACAGTATAACGATATCAAATTTAAAAGTTACAAAATCGGGGTACAGAAACCCTCGAACCAAAAAGGGAGAACCAAATCGATGGCGCACCTGCAAGCGTAGTTTGAGCGTGGGTCTGAGGTCGGCGCGCATTTTCTCGAAACGGAAGATCCAGGCGACGCCGACGACGGCGTCGCCGAACAGCAGTATCAGCAATAATATCCAATAGACGTGGAGCAACCGGGCGCTGAGTCGTCTGGCGGCGATACAACCGAGTAATTGCACCAGGCCCAACTGCGCCGTCAGTGCCAGATAGCCGTAGAGCGCGGTGGGGTCGTAGACACGAGGTATACCCGGCACCACGTGCCGACGTGGGTCGCCGGTGAACAGGAGAGTCTGCGATACCGCGGCGGCAAAGCCGATCGCGCTACCGAACAGCACCAGGTTACAGGCGTAGATCCAGAGGCGGTAATATCGCATCGCGACGTCCTCACCACCGTCGGCGAGTCGTTGGGACGTCACCGACGACGGCGCCTCGTCGGCGACGTGATCGCGGCTGTTACTCCTCCGGTCGCTTCTTTTGAAGACGTTGTTGTTGTTGACGTTATTGTTGTTATTATTATTATTATTATTGTTATTGTTGTTATTATTGTTGTTATTGTTATTGTTTGTGGTAGTCGTAGTGTTGGTATCGGTCGAGTGCCGATGCTCCTCACGGTCGTCCAGCAGAAAGAGAAAGGGCGGCTTCGCGCTGCAGTCCTTCGTCGCTGTCTTTTGGCTGTGCGTCGACTGCGGGGTGACTGAACGTTGCAGCAGCATCACCGTCATACTATCGTGCCACCCTGGTGTGCGTGTCCTCGTCGTAAGGATTGTATTCCGCGGACGCGGGGGGTTGAATAGAAGAGACGGGCCAGCGCGTTGCACCGTTGGTGGTGGTGGCCGTCGCTGCCGCCGCCGTCGCCGCCGCCGCCGCCGCGGTATTACGCGAGGAGGGTGGTGGCTAGAGGTGGAGACCGATCCTCTTTACTCGTGACCGGCGCGAGTCACGCGAGCCACGTCGTGCTGCATCGCCGCACCGGAAGATCGTTCGTGCTAACGTTCATGGTTGTCCCCCTCGTGTCACGCGCACCTGTCGTCGTTCACCGCAATGGCGGTCTTCGGTGTTCCAGCAACCGGAACGATTAACGTCAGGATTCTTCTGTGTAGAAAAACAGAAGTACATAAAAAAATATATGAGAGACATATTCCTAACAGACA